CGTGCATTGCTTGTAATCCAGCAGGGGTTGCGAAGTAAACATGGCCAGTGTGACAATTCAGGGCTGGATTTAAGTATGCGATATCGGCGTGCGTTAAAGTCCTATTGCTAAGGACATAAACGCGGCCAAAAATCGTTTCTTGTACGAAACCACCAATTAATTCACAAACTTCAGCAACACATTCATCATCGAGAGGCGTATCGTCGACGAAAATAAATCCAAAACGATGAAGATTCTCCAAAAGACTTGGAAGCACTTTTGGATCGTTTTTAAGCTGATCAAAGTTAAAATTACGAGGAGGATTTGAGGCGATTATGTCTTTGTCCCAAAGTAACATGTCAGATTCACCAGCCATGGAACCTAAGCCAGACTTTTTCTTAGGAGTTTGCGAGCCATCGTACGCGTTTGCCTTCAACCATGAACTATCAAAGCAAGACAAAATGTATTACTTACCTACAGCAGCCTCCTTCTCAGGCAAGTCGGGATTCCTGTGTTAAGTCAGAAAATCGGCCGGAGTGAGGAGATGCGTACTACTTCATTCCCCTGTTCCTAATCTCTCGACAACAGTTTGTCTCGGTCAGGATAAATCAACACAGAAAGACCAAGGACTATATAATTCGATGTTTTAACTTACGTTACGCCCTCATTCGTGAGAGATCTTCATTTAACACTCGATGAAGATAAAATCGTTATCTTCGCGAACCCATGTAATATTGTCTATCTTAGTTTTTTCTGGGTACATATCGGTTTTTCTTCCTCAGTTAAGTCAATATTCGAGCAAAATTATTGTGCATATAATTGCTTACTTCTTTTTTGTATTTTTTAATCTATTAAAATTATCAAACTAAGTATAAAAATACACATGATTGCTTTACAACTTTTCAAGTATTTTTCAATRTCATATTGTAATCGTAATAAAACGATACCAGTCACCAGATTACTTTACTTTTCCTGATGCAAATGAGCTAGAGTGATCGCACTTAATCCGTGCAACTGTACACTAACTAAATAATACTATTTAGTTGTATTTAGTAAATGCTGCATGCGGTAAACAAATTAAATTGAATTGATACATGAAGCATTCAATACCGTCTTGCTTCAGGTCAACTTTTAGTACAAATCAGTACTACTTAGATTTTGTACAGTTGCACGGATTAAGTGCGTTCACTCTAATATCAGTTCAGCTTTCACAATACATATTTCCATTTTCAAAATACAGTTTTAAGATTTATTTTCTGTATGAGATTTCATGGCTCTCCATCTTCCGATGTAATCATCCATGGAGACGTAACCTCCAACAAGTTTACGAAATCCWGTAACTTCTGATCTACCATGAAGAACACGCCTGTTATCCATAACGATAACTCTACCAGGCGTCAACTTGAACCACAGTTCATTCTCCTCYCGTCGAAGAATAGACCCAAACAACCGTATGGCATCATAGAACCTCTCCATTTCTTCATAAGAAAGATGCACCAAGTGGCCAACTCGTGTATTATTGTATCGCAGCTGTATCAGTTCCTTTCTGATCGGATCAACTTCTAGGATTGGACGAAAGTGGTGGRTAACGTGTTCCTTGCCAATGTACTCAAATGGAAGTTGTGTATTTGTTAAAATCTCGTAGGCTTCTGGATCTTCTTTGTACAGATCCTTTGCTGCCTTGAA